AAAGCAAAACAACTGACAAATTCTATCAGAGAAAGAGGCTAATCACCGCCGACAAATGGTCCGAACTGAGTTTTTTTCCCTTTTAACTCCGTCAATTCTGATTAAACCGTACGTGTTCAACGTTGGCTGATTAGCAACTCTCCCAACGCTTCACTCCAGATTTTCCCCCACAGTCCTAGCAAATATCACCTGACAAAAGTTGCAAGTCAGTCGTGCGACATGTGCGGCAGACTAATCAGGGCGGCAGATGCAATTTCCTGATTGCAGTCACATACTGGCTTGCTCGCGTCTGAAATGTCAGAAGAAGCGTTACAAGCTTAACGCTACGCTTCAAAGGTGGTCCAGTCATTGGAAACAGAGGAGCCTTTAACAAAAAATAAACCAAAATCACAACCCCGGCTAAGGGTAGATGTCGTAAATAGGCTTACCTGGCGTGTAACCCCAGGGTTCGTAGTAGGAGGGGAAGACACCCAAGTGACAACCACGGACAAATTCTTCGTAGTCCATTGGCAGAAGGGGATTGGTGGAACTAAGGAACTCCGGATGGAATATTGCCTTTAGTATTATCAGAAAAAAAGACACGACCAATGAGTGTGGGCAACAGCGGTTAGGTCAACTCACTGCAAAATTAAATCCCGTGGGACAGGGAATGGAATATACGAGAAGGAGGCAAGCTGTTTTAGGTTTAAAATGTTTGTTTCGTATACAACCGGTCAACGTCAAGATATAAATTAAGTGCTGTCGGAGTTTAATGTCCACATGAGTCCTGGGAAATACAACTGTTCATGAATAACTTGTAGTTAGTCAAATCTGCCACGACAAGACCAAAAGTTAGTTAAGTGAACGTTAGTTGAATCAAAAAGATGGCTGTTTGTTAATTTGTGGACAACGAGGAGAGTAGAGGCACTTTTTAAGTATTAATTTCAATCACTCAAAATTCTATGTTTAACCTCAAAGTTTGTGAACCAACTTTAGTCGTCAAGCGAAACGTCTGACTTTCGAATAATGTGTTTGCACGCGGCCCAAAATATAAGATTAGTAATGCCTTTCCTCCTACAAAGCGTCAGCAAAACATAAGTCTTTGAACTATTTGTATGTCTACACCCAGATGGCACAGAAGCTGGAGGTTTTTCACCAAAAGGAAAGTGTACAATTAGGGACTGATCTTATGCAACGTTCAAGAAAATTCCAAAATGCATTTTAGACTTGGAATCACGGCTTAAGCAGAATTGTAATATTTATTATTTATGAGCATAACTCCAAAATATTTTAGACACAACAGAATGCCGGCTTTCGAAGAAACGTCTTTTCGATACCTCACTCGGTACAAAATGAGTACTTATGTAGCGTTCATTTTTCTATAGATTTTCGATGCCATTACAAATTAAAGGATATCTTATCGAAAACGTAAGCATTAATATTCTTAAGAAAACGACTCGATCACTGGGACAATACGTTTATTCGCCTGATGTTTCGACATCCGTCGCGGATTCATCAGCAGAGACATTAGCAGAAACGGGTACTAATGTTTTCTGCTAATGTCGCTGATGATGAATCCGCGGCGGATGTCGAAACGTCAGGCGAATAAACGTATCGTCCTAGCGATCGAGTCGTATTCTTCTCAATTACCTCCTGGGACTCGCATGTTTGCTTGTATTGACAAATTAGTATGCTTCCTTGTACGCAGTTAGTAGCAATTCACGTGCTACCAATGTCTTCGCCAGACTTTGATTTTAAAAAGTTTAGAATCATGAAATGTTTGAGGACTGTACAATATAAATTCAGGTTGCATTGCACCTGTACGTTTATAAATGCCCCATATCCACTTTGAAATTGAATGAGCACTAGAGGTTATCATCTTAATGACGTAAAGGCATATATGATATTTCTCCTAAGGAAGACACATGGGTCGTAAACTGAAAGCCATACACATCAACGCACAGGCAGATCAGGTTCCAAGTTATTCGGGAATTGGAAAAGTTTTAAAACCAAAATGTACTTTCTCCTTCAGAATAAATTATGAAGAAAACGTGATTTTTTATCAAATGAGTACAATAACGATTAGTTGTCGCTGTGTCTTCTATAAAATACGTTTTAATTTTTTAAGGTCATCGAGAAGCTGTTAGAAAATACACAAAATTACGCAGTTTTCATCGAGTTAGGTTTTTTTCAGGAGGCCGAAAAGATGTTCATTCAAAAGCTGTCATCCTGATTTGTCTAAAATATCTTGGAATTGTGCTCCTAGAGAAAACATATTACAATCCTACATGAGTCATCCCTCTAAAGTTAAACACATTTAAAATGTTGGCTAACATTGTATGAGTGGCTCCTGCCATTTAATGTCGCCAAATGCAACATAATGCGTTTCAG